CGTCCACTATTAGTCGACTCCCTAAATCTTCCACCTCCACGATCCGACCTTCTTCCTCTGTGAGCAGTGGTCCATATCTCTTCTCGCGAAATCGCACCGTGCGGCCGGAGATAGGTAACGACTTAATTTGATCACTGGGTCTTGCACCTACAGCGAGAGCTGCTCTGTTCCTCGGGTCCCGAAGCTCTACTGTCTCAATCATTACCCGCGTCCCGTCTGGCTTCCTAATAGACAATGTTTGGCTCCCATCAGGTCGCTCTATCGTTACCGCATACACGTGGCTCAGCCACGTTCGACCCAAGAGCAGGTCGGAGCTGCAGTTCTTGACCGCAAAAACAGGCAGGGTCACTCGTACCCCTTGGACCTCTATGGCTGCCTTGTGACAAACCCTAGTGATCTGTTGCTTTCTCCCATCAGCCGTTTCTATCTCGAATAGGTATGACCTATCGAGGCCCAATCCAACCTGTACTGCCAGGTCCTCATCTATGATGACAGCCTCACTGCCGTTATCGATCACAGCATCAAGTACCGCTCCATCGTTTATAATCGTCTCCACGGCCCCGCTACCAAGTATATAAAACTTGTCTGGAGGCACACCTTCCATTCCATCGAGAAGGACTGTCGCCATGCGATCCGCTCTGGCAGTCACCCCCGTTACTGCTACTGTAGAAGCTTCCGCCTTAGGGGCTCCCTGACCCTCCTCTGATAGAGGTATGCGAGTCTTCCGCGTGATCATTTGTAATTCATCACGAGCTGGCTTCGATGCCGCCAGGTACTCCAGTATAGAGCACTACATGGGTTGCCGAAGGGCCCGCCTCAGTGGCTCGACCGTGTCAATCTCGTCCAGCGAACTCTTCATTAAGAACTTCTTCACTCCCCGCTTTCGCGGCGAAAGGATAACCTCCTCTCCATCGACCCGCTGCCCGTCCTTCTCCGCCATCACGTAATCCGTGTCAGTCTTCTTCGATGTAGACCCTCTTGCGGACTTGGTGGCTACTACCCTTATGGGTGTGGTCGTGATATCCCCCTCAAAGGTTATCTTGATGCTCTGGCTCCTGACCGGCTCCATTCCCTTACTCGTCTTTATTCTCCTTGCTTCGACATTCTCCTTCATCAAAGGGAACATCGATACATCTCCCAGATTATCTGCCCACTTGACGTACTTGCGGTCGTCAAGTACGACAAGTCCCTCATCTATTGCCCGTTTGAGGTCCGGGCAATCCCTCTTGATATGATCTTCTCCTCTACAGTAGACGCATGAGTTCCTGGGAGTAGATGCCCTGTCGTCTGCGCCTCTAGAGATCGAACTCCTGGCCGCCTTGGGGTCAGGCGACTTGGGATATGGTTATGATGAGACGCCATATCCCCCTCTCTCATCCCGACCGCGTGGATCGTTGCCCCGGTCTCCTCCAGACCCTCCTTGCTCATACCGCCCTCGCGAATCATTCCAGCGGTCCCCCGAGTCATATCGTCCACGCGACTCATCGCGTCGGTCCCCTCGGTTGTACCACCCCCGCGACTCGTCGCGCTGCTCTCTCGCATCTCTCCCACGCTCAAACCGTCTGTGCGACCCATCTTGTCGTTCCCAGTCCCGATGTCAGGCGGCCACAAGTAGTGCGCCGCCTGAGAGTGGCAGTTTTGGGACTTAGGCTCAGGGATAAGCCCGTGTTTTGACAATACACTGGACTGACCAGGCGGCAGAGATTAAGGGAACTCACGGCACCCCTGATTTTGGGTGTGTCGACCATTGAGGCTAGGCCTCGAAATTGTAGAGAAGAACTACCGCTTTGCTGCCCTGACGGCTACCTTATTGTCTATCTCATTTTCGCCCGCTCCAAG